CTCCTGAATAAAGCACACTGATGGATCTTGACTCTAACCAATTTGCCAGTCTGTATCTTTTGATTGGGGCATTTAGCCCATTTACATTTATGGTTAATACTGTTATGTGTGAATTTGATCCTGCCATTTTGATACTAGCTGGTTGTTTTGCCCATTAGCTGATGCAGTTTCTTCATTGTGTTGATGGTCTTTACCATTTGGTATGTTTTTGCAGTGGCTGGTACTGGCTGTTCCTTTCCATATTTAGTGTTTCCTTCAGGAGCTCTTATAAGGCAGGCCTGGTGGTGAAGAAATGTCTCAGCAATTGCTTGTCCATAAAGGATATTCTTTCTCCTTTGCTGATGAAGCTTAGTTTGGCTGGATATGAAATTCTGGGTTGAAAGTTGTTTTCTTAAGGATGTTGGCCCCCACTCTCTTCTGGCTTGGCGGGTTTCTGCTGAGAGATCTGCTGTGAGTCTGATTGGCTTCCCTTTGTGGGTAACCCGACCTTTCTCTCTGGCTGCCCTTAGCATTTTTTCCTACATTTCAACCCTGGTGAATCTAACAATTATGTGCCTTGGGGTTGCTTTTCTTGAGGAATATCTTTTTGGTGTTCTCTGTATTTCCTGGATTTGAACGTTGGTCTGCCTTGCTAGGCTGGGAAAGTTCTCCTGGATAATATTCTGAGGAGTATTTTCCAGCTTGGATATATTCTCCCCATCACATTCAGTTATACTGATCAAGTGTAGATTAGGTCTTTTCACATAAGTGCATATTTCTTGGAGGCTTTGTCCATTTCTGTTCACTCTTTTTTTCTAACCTTGCCTTCTCGTTTTATTTCATTGAGTTGATCTTCAATCTCTGACATCCTTTCTTCTGCTTGATCGATTCTGCTATTGAAACTTCTGCTTGCTTCGTGAAGTTCTCATGCTGTGGTTTTCAGCTCCATGAAGTCATTTATGTTCTTCTCTAAGCTTGTTATTCTAGTTAGCATTTCTTCTAACCCTTTTTCAGGGTTCTTAGTTTCTTTGCATTGGGTTAGAACATGCTCCTTTAGCTCAGAGAAGTTTGTTATTACCCAATTCTGAAGCCTAGGCTTCTGTCATTTCTTCAAACTCATTCTCCATCCAGTTTTGTCCCTTGCTGGTGAGGAGTTGTGATCCCTTGGAAGAGAAGAGGCGTTCTGGTTTTTGGTGATTTCAGCCTTTTTGTGCTGAAATCTTTCCATCTTTGTAGATTTATCTACCTTTGGTCTTTGAAGCTGGTGACTTTGGGATGGGGTCTCTGAGTGGGCCTTCTTTCTGTTGATGTTGAAGCTATTTCTTTCTGTTTTTTAGTTTTCCTTCTAACAGGCCCCTCTGCTGCAAGACTGCTGGAGGTCCACTCCAGACCCTGCTTGCCTGGGCATCTCCTGCAGGGGCTGCAGAAGAGCAAGGATTGCTGCCTGTTCCTTCTTCTGGTAGCCTCATCCCAGAAGGGTATCCGCTAGATGTCAGCTAGAGCTCTCCTGTATGAGGTTTTTCTTTGGATATACGGGCGTCAGGGAGCCACTTGAGGAGGTGCTGTGCTGGGAGCTCTGTTGTTCCATTCAGAGCTGCTGGGCAGGGATGTTTAAGTCTTCTGCAGTGAAACTCACAACTGCCCTTTTTCCCAGGTGCTCTGTCCCAGGAAGGTGGGGCTTTATTTATAGGTCCCTGAGGGGCTGCTGCCTTGTTTTCAGAGATAACCTGCTCAGTAAGGAGGGAGTCTAGTCACAGTCTGCCTGCAGAGGCATTGCTGAGCTGCCATGGGCTCCACCCAGCTTCCCTGTAAACTTGTGTGTGTTTTTGTTTACATTGGCAAGATTAGAACTTCTTAGGTAATGGTGGACTCCCCTCTCTGCACCAAGCTCGACCATCCCGGGTGCAACTCAAACTGCTGTCCTTGGCTGCAAAAATCTCTAGCCAGTGGGTTTTTTCGCTGGTCCTTGTGGAGGTGGGACCCACCGAGCCAGATCACTTGGCTCCCTGCCCTCAGCCTCCTTTTTTTTAGGGGAACGGGCAGTTGTGTCTCGCAGGCTTTCCAGGTGCTGGCTAAAACGGCCGCCCAGTTTTGTGCTGGAAATCAACTGGAAACCCGTGGCGCTCATGTTGTCGGAACCGGTGGGAATTCCGACAGACCAGGAGTGGTCTGTGGGCTGTAAAGACCATGGAAAAAGTGCAGTATCTAAGCTGGAGTTCCGGAGTGTCCAGAAAATCGCAGATGGCCTCCCTTGGGTAGGAGAGGGGTTTCTCCAGCCCCTTGTACTTCTAGGGTGAGGTAGTACCCACCCTGCTTTGATTTGCCCTCCTTGGCTACACCCTTGAGATGACCCTGGCACCTCGGTTGGAGATAGGGGGGTCACTCACCTTCTGTGTTGCTCTCGCTGGGAACTGCGCGCTCAAGCTGTTCCTATTTGGCCATCTTGGCAGGAGTCTCAGCATTAATACCGTTTTTGGTTAAAGAGCAGATTTGGGGCAAGGCATGATAGCTCACACCTGTAATCCCCTGACTTTGGAAGGCCAAGGAAGAAGGATCACTTGAGCCTAGGAATTTGAGACCCGTCTGGGGGTAAAAAAAAAAAAAAAAGCTGATTTGGATGTATGTATGCACTGCTTGTTCATATCTTCTCCTCAAAAAGACTTAATATCTGAATGATCCGTGGAACTCTTCTCATCTTTTCTTTTTTTCTGAAATAGAGTCTTGCTCTGTCACCCAGGCTGGAGTGCAGTGGCGCAATCTCAGCTCACTGCAACCTCGGCCTCCAGGGTTCGAGCGATTTTCCTGCCTCAACCTCCCTAGTAGCTGGGATTACAGGTGCCCACCGCCACACCTGGCTAATTTTTTGTAATTTTAGTAGAGAAAGGGTTTCACCGTGTTAACCAGGATGGTCTCAATCTCTAGACCTTGTGATCCGCCTGCCTCGGCCTCCCATAGTGCTGGTATTACAGATGTGAGCCACCGTGCCCTGCCAGAACTCTTACTTTCTAACAGTATGATACAGCAAGTATCAAGTCCTGTCATTAGAATCATATGAAAACATTTACAGCTAATGATCCTTATACTAACATGGTGATACTCGTAGGCGTATAAAATTTGAGTTGTTTGCTGACTTAGTTCTGATTGTTTTAGTCAATATAAATCTAAAAGTAAACATGACCTTTGTTGTATAAGTTAACTTACTTTGCGATATGGTATGTACGTTTTCCTGGTCAGAAAAACGAACTGACTTCAGAGACAGATTAAGGAGGTTTGTTTCGGGCAGGACTATTTCTAAGAGCAGGTACTGTTCTTAGAATTGGGTGTGCAGGAGAAAATGAGTCATTCTTGACAAAAAGGACTGGTCAGAGATTTAGGTTGAGGCTGGACAAGTAGGTGGTGATTAAGAGGGCACTTGGAGGCCGGGCACGGTGGCTCACGCCTGTAATCCTTGCACTTTGAGGGGCCGAGGCAGTTGGATCACAAAGTCAGGAGTTCAAGACCAGACTGGCCAACATGGTGAAACCCCATCTCGTAAAAAATAAAAAAATTAGTTGGGCATGGCGGCTCGTGCCTGTAATCCCAGCTTCTTGGGAGGCTAAGGTAGGAGAATTGCTCGAACTGGGACGTGGGAAGCAGAGGTTGCAGTGAGCCAAGATCGCACCACTGCACTCCAGCCTGGGCTACCGAGCAAGACTCCATCTCAAAAAGAAAAAAGAGGGAACTTTAATCCAGTCTGCAAGTCTGGCTCTGTCTTGCTGAGCTCCAGGGGCCCTGGGTTTAGGCTTGTTCTGTCTTTTTCCTCAGGGCTTACAGTATCCCTCTCTTCCTAACTTGCCTACACTGTAATCTTCATTTGGAGAGACCCTCAGGGACAAATGCTACCTTCTTTCCTTGTTTCTTCCTCAAGAATATAATAATGTAAAAAGATTTAAATACTAAGAATAGGTGTGGTTCCCACATTTAAAAGAACACGATGTTATACCATTTAACTATTGTCTTTTTTCTTGTCTTAGTGCAGTTCTTGTATCTCAGATCATTTATATGGTGTTCCTCATTTGACACCATATATGGTACATGTAGCCTTCAGATTCGTTGGACTGAACCAACCAGAGATCAAAAATTACCAGGGAAAAAAAGTCATAAAACATAAAAACAGTACCATATAACAGTATTGTACCATACGTATTAACAGTGCAATATAACAGTGCCATTTAAAAGTGTTCTTTTAGGTTGGGCGCAGTGGCTCACCCCTGTAATCCCAGCACTTTGGGAGCCCAAGGCATGCAGATTGCTTGAGCTCATGGGTTCAAGACCAACTTGGGCAACATGCCAAAACCCCATCTCTACAAAAAACACAAAAATTAACTGGGCATGGTAGTGTGCACTTGTAGTCCTAGTTACTCGGGAGACTGAGGTGGGAGAATGGCTTGAACCTAGGAGAGAGGTTGCCGAGGCCTGAGATTGCACCACTGCACTCCAGCCTGGGCGATAGAGCCAGACATTGTCTCAAAAAAAATAAAAATGAAAAGTGTTCTTTACATGACATTTACATTGTATTAAGTATTATAAATATTAAAGGGTACAGGAGGATGTACACAGATTGTATGTAAATACTGTGCCATTTTATAAAAGGGGCTTGAGCATCCATAGATTTTGATATCTTTGGGAGGCCCTAAAACTACTACCCCGTAGATACCAAGGGATGACCATATGTTATTCTTCTAGCTACTCACGTTTTCCTTAGCTTTATTTGCTAGATCAAACACAGAATGAATTTGACCCATGTTTGTTTATTTCTGTGCTTTAATTTTAGTGTAAAATGCTGTTTTCTAAAGTAGTATCTAGGGGACCTAGTTTTGATTTGTGCCTGATGTAATGGTTTTGAGCCAGAACAATAATGAAAGTAAAGGTAATCTTGAATACTGGAGTATCTGCAGTTGACAGAGAAAATCAAAACTGTCATTCTTGATGTCTGTTTAATTCCATATGTAAAATTATTCCTTGACGTTTATTCTGTTTAGGAACACTGTAACATCCTCTATGGTGATGAAGATGGGACTCATCCGAGCGTAACCCCAAGTCTCGAAAACTGCTGTAAAGATAGAGAAGCGGGTAAGAAATTCCTATTTGTTTTTATGCTTGTAGATCATTTTCTTTTTAATAAAACCTGTTATAATACATGGAGTTTTCAGTGGTCTATTAATACCTTGATGCGTCTGAAATAACACGTGAATGAAGAACAGTTGAGAGGGATAGAATCTCCTTGGAGAGCCTCAGAATTGGTCTGTCCATTTCATGAATCCAGTTTTACTTAGTGGTGGAATTTGTAATTGAATTGTAATTGAAAATTTATGTTTCAATTTTATAAACCTTTAAGATGTTCATGCAAAATTTTACTTGGAAATCTGTTACCATATTTTAATTGGAAATGTGCTTATCTTCTCCATTTTGAATTTGCACTGCCAACAGTTATTCTGTAGCTCTGCTTTGCTAGCTGTTATATAAATAATAGCTGAATATAATCACATTAAAAGATTCTAGTATATGCCTTTTAGATAAGAAATCTAGCTTAATTTTTAGAAGTTACTCTCATTTATTATCTAATTATAGAAGATGAAGAAAAGTTGGAAGCACTGGCCTTTCTAAATATGAGGAAGAGGAAGAAAGTTACTTTTGGAGAGGAGCTAAGCCCGGAAGTGTTTGATGAATCTTTGCCAGCAAATACTCCATTGCGTAAAGGAGGAACACCTGTTTCTAGAAAGGACGTGCGTGGTCTCAGTTCCCTGCTGCTTGAGCAGTCACCAGCTCCTGAGCCGTTACCTCAGCCAGATTTTGATGACAAGGGGGAGAATCTTGTAAGTGTGAAAAGTGTTGAACAAACTTGCCTGTATTTTCATCAGACTTACCCTGCTTTGCATGAGCAATAACTATGCTTTGAAATGAGATAGACTAAATGATATGCCATGGTTTAAATTAATCTATTTTGTATGTAAGTTTTTATGAATTTTTCCCCATTAGAAATAATACTTCCCTGACTCCTTGTACATATTGAATAGCTTTATGCCAATGAATTTGACAAATTAAGTAAATGGATACCATCCATGGAAAACATAAACTATCAAAACTCACTAAAGGTGATAGCTCAATGGCCCTATATCAACTTAAGACATTTAAACTGTAGTTAAGACCTTCCCACAAAGAAAACTCTAGGTATACATGATTTATTTTTATTTATTTATTTTTTTTTTGAGATGAGGTCTTACTCTGTCACCTAAGGTGGAGTGCAGTAGTGCGCTCATGGCTCACCGCAGCCTCAACCTCTCCAGGCTCAAGCTGTCCTCCTATCTTAGCCTCCAGAGTAGCTGGGACTATGGGCGCACATCACCATGCCTGGCTAATTTTTTATGATTTTAATGATGAATTCTACAAACATTTGAGCAGGTTAAAATACTAATTCTACACAAGTTTTTCCACAAATTGAAGTGGGGGTTAATTGATGTCAGCATTGTGATTTCAGCATTAACCAGGTGCTAAAATCAGACAGACAGGCATTACAAGAGAAGAAAGCTTCAGTTCAGTATCCTTGTAAGCATAGCAATATATAAAAAGATAATATGTCATAACCACGTGCGATTTAGCCTTGGCTGCAATGTTGTTTAATGTTTGAAAACAAATCAGTATAATTCGCCTTGTTAAAAGATACATACAGAAATGTGATCATCTGAGTAGATACAGAAAAAGCATTTAACAAAATCTCATATCCATTTCTCATTTAAAAAACAAAACCTCTGAGCAAAATGGTAATAAAAGGGAATTTCTTCAATCTGACAAATGTCTATGCAAAAGCAACAGTTACTATCTTACCAGCAATTATGTGGGAAGGATTTGCTATCTGTATTTGTTTGCCATCTTACCTTGGAGTTCCCTGAATAATATTATAACATTAGACTGTGTTTATGAATGAACTTTTAAATTTTCTTTGTAGGAGTTAGAAATTTAGCAGTGGATCATTTTTTGTACTTTCACTTAAATATTGTCTTAGTATTTTGATGGATTGCAGTTAGTAAATATGATTTCATTGCAAACATGATTGGTAAATTATATAATATACATATATTTTTATATTCAGTCTCTTTGTTTTGCTTTGACTTTCAGAATCTTTTTGATTACCCATCTTTATGCTTATTATAGTTTCTCCTACCAAAATAAGTTCTTATTTTTCTTTTTGGCACATTATATATTCACTGAATTTAAAGATATGTAATTTCTATTCTTTTTTCTTTGTTTAGGAAAACATAGAACCACTTCAAGTATCATTTGCTGTTCTGAGTTCTCCTAATAAGTCATCAATCTCTGAGACTCTTTCAGGTAGTAACTTTTGTTTATCTTAAAATCATAAATGTCATTTTCAATAAGTGAATACGTTGACACTTTTTATTTTCTTTTAAAAATTTTATTTTTGTTACCACAGCATATACTTGATTTAAAAAAAACCTAATAGTATTGGAAAGCTGATATGAAGCCGTTCATTCATCCCTTTCCAATCCAAGCCTCATACTTCATGTCACCCACAATTCACTTCCTCACATGGGATCCCCATTTTGTTAGTTGCTAGAAGCAGTGGGGTTAGCCTCTCACCTCTTAAGTATCAATGACAAGCTGCTATTCACAGTTTGCAGAATTGACATCTGGATTGTAAGGATCGTTCTTAAATATCCAGCCATTTTCCTCAACATTAATGCGGCATTTTAGCACATGTGCTTTCTAAGGTCTTTGGCTATGTTATGATTATGACAAAGCAACAGGGATTGCTCCCAGCTTTTCTGACAAACCAGGACTTAGCTGGCAGATGTCATGGGATGGGCACCTTTATTCAGGTGTCTACCCTGGCAGAAACCCTTTAATGGCTTCTTGTTGACACAAACCAAATGTAGTAGAGTCCAAGCCATGTGTTACTAAGTTAGGGCTAAAATTTGAACCACGGTCTATTACGTTCCAAAGCGCATACCCTTAAACACATACCGCCTTTAATTTATATCATTAAAAGTCATCTGCCAGGCATGGTGGCTCCCGCCTATAATCCCAGCAATTTGGGAGGCCGAGGCAGGTGGATCACTTCAGGTCAGGAGTTTAAGACCAGCCTGGCCAACATGGTGAAATCTCGTCTCTACTGAAAATACAAAAAAAAAAAAAAAAAAAAAAAAGGCCAGGCATGGTAGG